GACGAATAACTTTAACGGTTCTTGACTAATTATATTGCTTGAAATTGCTTAATATATCAGGATTTCTAAAAATACTATACATTATCTCAGCTTTCCATAAACTAAGTTGAAAGTAAAGAGTAAGAATTATAACAATAGTTCAAGAATTGTATAGATGGAAAACATAAGATAAACTTTTAAGTTACCAATAGGAAAGTTTTAGAAGATCATAAACTATTTTTATTTATATTAAGCATCATAATGCTTTTAGTTTGACCAAGGAAATAGGTTTCCCTGAATCGACAAAGGTAAATTAGAGAGATGTATTTACAGCATCAACAAGATTACTTATTAATTATTATATTGATATACTTTTTATATTTGGATGCTGCATGCTCAGTGTTTCTCGTACTCCATCCAAGCCCATCCACCAAGGTACGCGAATCTCTCAACGAACATCACTTCCCCAGTGCGTTTGAACGCTAATGCTGTCGTACTAGTTGTTCCAAAGCGTTGCATTCCAAGCTGAATCGAAATGAATAAAGAAAGAAGTTAATGATGGTAGGAGAATATGAATCATAGAAACGTTATATATATATATCAAATCTCTTACTTTAGGGTTCGGATGCTCAGCCATAGTTTCAAGAAACAGCTTGGCTTCAGTTGCTCCACTAGCAATATCATCAAGCGGTGGTAGTTCATCAATCAGTATCATGTGAATAAAAAAGTCTCTCATGTGTAAATCCTGCAAAGTAAAAAAGAGAAATGAGAGTTTTTGAAAGAGCTACAAAATATACGAAAAAAGAAACAAGACACTAGTAACTTGATTACCCTGTCAGAGATTGTGGAGTCGAGACCACCGTCAGGAGAAAGTGTGTGCAGACCAAACGAAACGGGTTGTATCATGACATACGGATCATCTAGAACAGGTTTCCTCATATGAACCATTGAATTGGAAGCCATGTCCGCGACTATAAGGCTATACGACCACCCTTTTTGTGAATCCACGTCACGCTCTGTCACATGCATGGCAAAGTCCTGTGGACTCATATTGCCCTGCAACCAAAACAGAGAGTTCTGTGGATATCCAATATGTTTTGTATAAAAATATGCAAACAACAAAATGAAATGAAACAAACCTCCACGAATTCAATGGGATACAACTCGCAGCCGCGGTCTGGAACAACTTGGTCTAGCAACAACGTTTTACTCATGAGAAAAGCAACACGGCCTCCTCGAGAAATAGCCAACCACGTTCCTTTGTTATCTGCGCTCCGACCACTCAAAATCTGGCCATTCCACGAACCCCCATTTATGACCCTGTTAATCCCATCAGACCAAATAAATTAGAAGAGTCATCAAGAAGAGCCAAGAAAGTTAAACGTCGAATCAAATATTAAACTTGCCTGTTTCCCCAGTTGTCTCTGTTCATCACCAACACCAGTTGGTTGTTGCCTTCCTCTGCCCAGTTAAATCCTACGATCCCCATTTTCTTGAAAAGAAGATATAAGTTTGCTTTACAATTTGAATCTTTTGCTCTGTGTTATTTCTTTTGTTGTGATGTTTTGAGTTGTGAACATCGTCCCTGTTTTTATAGATGATGATCTATCCTCTACTTTTTCCCTTTACTTGTTCTTCTTCCCAACGTAACCACTAAGTCTACGCGCTTAAGAGCTTCTTTATCCAAATTTGGATATAACCTTTTGCTGTTGTCTCTCACTATCATACTCTCTCCCTCACTGACTAACCATGAGTCGTGTCTTTGTCTCTGTGGTGCATTTTACTTTTGCAGATGTAAAACAAAACAAAGTGGCTTCTAGTTGCACATATGAGCTATTGTAAGTAAAAGGGTAGATGCAGCGTTTCAACATTTTCAACGTTATTCTACATTTGCTCTATAGCTTTTTGCTCCTGAAGGTTGAGTGATGGTCGAGTCATGTGTATGGTAAGAATAATTACTTTTACTATACTAAGAATAGAATATACAACAAGTGGTTTCTAGTAGAGCAGAGCACACAAGTTTAGGAACTCAAAATCCAAACTGTTCTTTGGTCTTAGGCTAAGACTCTTAGCTAGCTTTGGTGTTGGCAATTTCGATTCTAGTGCTGTAATGATTGGTCTTAAGATCTGTAATGATATGTAAGACTCAATTCCAACTACAACTAGTATTTGTTAATCAGAGCCTATAGTGGTTAAGTGACCTTGGTTTATCAAATAGTTTCTTGAGTAAATATACATGTGAAATTATTTAAGATTAACATACCGAAAAAAAAAGAGAAGAACTAAAAACTAAAAAGGGTACGTACCATAGGGTTTTTAGTGGATCCATACTAAGATTCCAATTTCTTTATAACTTTGGTGATCTTTGTGAAACCAAGTATGAAAAAATATTATGAAAGTAATCATTTTGGAAAATAGTAATCTCTTTATCACCTGTTAAGAGTTAAGACTTTATATCAAAACAAACAATCTCTTCACGACTTTGCTTTTTCTTATTTTTTTTTGGTTATAGTTGTGATGATAAATGGTAACGTGTATGCTTTTTCTTAAGTTCTATAATTTCTTGATTTTTGTTTTGTATCTACATGTTCTTGCTATTTCTTGATTTCAAGATATTTTTTGGTATTTAGTTACGTTCTTACTTTTTTCCGGAAGTACTACTAGTTAGCCTCAAAGGTTCTGACAAATTGCTTGAAATTGCATGATCCGGATTTCCATAAATACTCTATATCAGCTTTCCAATAATCATATATATAAAAGTAAGGTTCTACTCTCTCCTTATTGGTGGAAAAATATTTAAGGCTTTCATTTAAAAAAAAAAAAATGTTTATGACAATCATTCAATACAAAATTTAATTACACTATAAGTTATAATCAAATGGCAAAGAAAATGAAAGGACTTAATCATATATCATTCAACAAAATAAATAAATAAATGTTTATGACAATCATTCAATACAAAATTTAATTACACATTAAGTTATAATCAAATGGCAAACAAAATGAAAGGACTTAATCATATATCATACAACAAATTTTATAAGCCTTATTGGTGGAAAATTATTTAAAATCATATATATAAAAGTAAGGTTCCACTCTCTTTATTGTTCCATTTTGTATTTATTTTTTAAAATATAATATTTATTTTTAACCAAAAAAAAACATTTAATCATATACATTAATTCATACTTTAAATTCACACTTTAGTACTAAAATGAAACTGAAAATTATATAAATTTCCAAAGATTATTGGTTTTCTTTATTGAATTTCAATTAAACACACTATAAATTATAATTATAACTCCTCTAATTTAATTATTTTAAAAATGTAACTTACATCACTTCTTATCATATAAATAGTCATTATCACATCCTTCTCTACCATATCTCATATCTTCATTATTCTCTTTGTTTTTTTTTAAAGTTCTTGCATGGGGTGAGAACTCATTTAAAATATCATTGTAAGAGTTTGATTAATTATTTAGTTTAAACTTTTGTTGTCAATTTTATTTATTTTTTGTTTTTATGTATTTCTTTATGTCTTCATTGTTTTTTATATTTTTAAATGTAATACATATGTATAATAATATTTTATGGTTATAAGAAAATCAAGCTAAAGAAACCATCTTCATTCTTTTACTTTGGATGTTTGTTTCTTTCTCACATATTCATGTATATTTAATTTATTTTCAAAAGTATGTAATTTTTTAACAAAATAAACTTTTTGTTATATAATTATCAAACCAATTTGTAAGACATTCTTTTAAGAATAATGATCCTTATATTTAGTTTGTGATTCAACATGTAATAATACAAAGAACATTATAATTTGTTTTAACTTTGAATTTTATACTTGATTTCCTATCTAAAAAACAATTTGATATTCCATTTTCTATCTATTATATATACTACAAGGATGAAAAATATAATTAAACCTAGAAATATAAATTAAATTAAGAGGAATATAAAAAGAGATTAAAAATAAAATTATTTCTTGGGAATTCTTAAGGTTTCATTCTCTTCTTATTATATATTTGGTTAAAACTTTTGTTTTCAATTATATTTCTTCTTTATTTTATGTACTTCTTCATTTTTTCATTGTTTTATACTATTAAATATATAATACATATGTATAATAATATTTTATGGCTATAAGGAAATTATTTTATCGATGGGATTCAAAAATATTGATTTCTGACCATCGCACCATAAGAAAATCAAGCTAAATAAACCATTTTCATTGTTTTACTTTATATGTTTTTTACTTTCTCACATATTCATGTATATTTATTTTATTTTCAAAGTATGTAATTATTTTAACAAAATATTTTTTTGTTATATTCAAACCAATTTGTAAGACATTGAAATAAATAAAATTTTATACACAAATAAAGGTAATTTTTGTGTATATTTATAAGTTTACACACATATTTGGATAAATTTCAACATTTTTAGTGGTTGTTTTTATAAAGTTTGAAAAGGGGGTAAATTTAAAAAGTGATATTTTTAAAGGGGTATTTTTTAAATTCTCCCAATATCATTTCTATTTTTATCATTAACAATATTATTGTTTTATCAAAAAATACTTAAAAGTACTAAAGAAAATTACTATCAAAATTGATTAATTGAACAATTAACCAACGAATAAATTCAAAAGATATGGATGTATGCTTCTATTATATAATTTAAATAAATAACATGTAAAAATGTCATAAACATTAAAATTTATTTAATCTATTTTTATAAGTAATAAATAAATTAAAATAATTAAATAAATATACAATAACCCGCGCATATGCGCGGGACATTACCTAGTTAAGTTGAAAGTAAAGAGAAAGAATAACTATATGGGTCAAGAATTGTATAAATGGAAAATATAAGGTGAAATTTATAATTACCATAGGAAAGTTTTAGAAAACAATCGATTCATTTATTTTTATTAAGCATCAACAAGATTATTCTTTTAATTATAGATAATGATATATTTGGATGCTGCGCAATATTGTTTCTTTGTAACTCTTTTACTGGATGTTGAGATTGAAGTTGTGCTCGATACAGTCCCATTCCCCATTAATGTCCCTGAACCTCTCAAAGAACATCACTTCCCTAGTGCGTTTCACCACCAATGCTGTCGTACTTGTTGTTCCGTAGCGTTCTTGCCTTCCAAGCAACTGAACCGATATCAAAAGGAAAATAAATTAAATATGGTGCTGACTGATGAAAGTATCATACATAACAAACGGTTAAGTTCAATTTTTTTTTCTTACTAGATGATATTCATTAGTGTCGAGACATAAAGCATTGGTTCCTTCAGAATCATACATAAACATGCCAGCGATCTGGTCCAACGGTGGAAGTTGGTCATGGTCTCCAAATTCAAGTACCAAATCATTGAATAGGTCTCTTAGCCGTGTAACCTGCATGTATATAGACGGATATAAAAATATTTATATATTAGTATGTCCAAAAAAAATATATATTTATATATATCTTAGCTAGCTAACTACTTTGTTACAAGTACTTAATTACGTTACGTACCCTGAGAAATTCCGTGGAATCGAGACCCCGGCGGGACAAAGTGTGAACACCAAAGGGAACGGTTTCTATTATGAGTTTAGTCTCATGTGCTAAGGGTTTCCTGATATGAACCATTGATTGCATATTCAGGTCTGCAACAATAAGGCTATAGGTGTGCCATTGCTCCAAATCTTCATCTTGTGCCAAGTGTTCCGCAAACTGCATTGGACTAGAGTTTTCCTATAAATCAAACAAAAGCATGTCCTGTGGTGAATATCGAAGTATTCTTAAATAAAAATAAGTAATAAAGAGGAAAAAGCCAAAAAAAATAAATACATTTAGGAAACGGACAGGGTACATCTCCGAGCTGCCTTGATGTCCAATTTGGTCGAACGTTATAGCCGAACCGACGAGAAAAGAGACTCGGCCGCTCTTAGAAATACCTAACCACGTACCAGAGTTCTCTTCACAGCGGCCACACACGATTTGCTCAGTGTCATCCCAAGCCGTCGCTCTTATGACTCTTTACGCATGCATACAGAACGAAACCAAGATCATGAATATAAACATTCATCAATAATGTCATCAGATTCACAAATATGAAAAACCAAGAAAGAAAACGTCGAATGAATTATTAAAAACTTGCCTGGATTCCCAGTTGTCTCGGTTCATCAGCAGCATCAGTTGGTTGTTGCCTTCCTCTGTCCAGTTGAATGCTACGATCCCCATTTTTTTGCTATTTGAATCTTTTGCTCTGTGTTGTTTCTTTTGTTGTGAACCCCATCTCTGTTTTTATAGCAGAGAGATGATGATCTATCCTCTGCTTTTTTTCCTTTACTTGTTCTTCTTCCCAACGTAACCACTAAGTCTACGCGCTTAAGAGCTTGATTTTGTTAGAGAACGTATATAGAATATATGTAAATACTCTTTATTACACTTAGGAAAGGCCAACAGTCCAATTGTATCTTATATATTCTCTCTTGATTGTGTAATACAACAACGGAGTTTACCTTTCTTACATGGTATCAAAGCTTTAACCTAGCCCCCAAGCTAAGCGCTCGATCCAATCTCCGATCTCTTCTTTCTCTCCTTCTTCTTCCTCCTTGTTTCACCCTCTTCTTCTTCTTCTCTCCTTCGTTTCATCATGGCTTCTCCTCCTCCTTCTAATGATAAACCTTTTGGTATTTCACAAATCAAGGCCTATATCCCTATTACTCTTGATATGAGTAAACTCAATTACGACAAGTGGCGTGAACTCTTTGAAACCCACTGTCTTAGCTTCGGCGTCTTAGATCACATAGACGGCTCCTCCTCTTCAACACCTGCAACTGAAAAAGTATGGAAGAAGCGTGATGGCCTTGTGAAGATGTGGATCTACGGCACCATCTCCGAATCCATCCTTGATACAATTCTCAAAAAGAATGCTACTGCTCGTGACTTGTGGCTGTCCATCGAGAGTCTCTTCCATGACAACAAGGAGGCGCGTGCTCTGCAACTTGAACATGACCTCCGAACCATGGTGATTGGCGACCGCTCCGTTCATGATTACTGCCAAAACCTGAAGTCCACGGCGGATCTCCTCGCCAACATCGATTCTCCCGTTTCTGAGCGTGTGTTAGTGATGCATCTTTTAAATGGTCTCTCTGATAAGTTTGACTCCATCATTAACGTTATCAAACACAAGACTCCTTTTCCCAGCCTTCTTGAAGCTCGTTCTATGTTATAGATGGAGGAAGAACGTCTTGCAAAAATAGTTAAGCCAAGTTCCAACCATCATGATACTCCTTCGTCTTCTACCATCCTCTACACCACTTCTGATGGCACTCTTCGCAACAACAATAACAACAACAACTTTGGTCGTGGAAACAGAGGACGCAATCGTGGTGGTGGCCGTTTCCGTGGCCGAGGCCGATACAACAATGCTTACTCCTCCAACACCTTTACTTCTCCGTGGTATTACAATTATCCGCCGCAGGTCTACGCTTCAACTCCAGCACCGAGTTATCCACAGCAGAGTTATCCTCACTTCTTATTCAACCCGTCTCCACCGTATCATGCTCCACCTCATCACACCAATCATTCTGGGATTTTAGGCTCGCACCCGTCTCGTCCTCAAGCACATTTGGCATACTCGTCCGATCCAACTTCGTTAACGCCTCTCCCCGCTTCCCTAACTCATGCTTTCAACACGATGACTCTCCAAGAGCCTGCAAATCCTTGGATTATGGACACCGGTTCGACCGAACACGTTGCCTCTAGCACAGGTAATCTCCACTCTCTTTTTAATACGAGTACCATGCCTCTTGTTACTGTTGGAAATGGTTCTGTTGCTGCCGTTACAACACTTGGTCATGGTACTATTCCCTCTCCGTCTCGTTCTTTTGCTCTTAAAAATGTGCTGGTTTGCCCTGATATTATCAAAAATCTTGTTTCAGTTCGGAAGTTTGTAACCGATAACTCTTGCACAATTGAGTTTGATCCTTTTGGTTTTTGTGTTAAGGACCTTCGAACTCGGACTAGCTTGCTCCGATGTGATAGCTCTGGCCCTCTTTATACCGTTACTTCATCTCCATTGCCTTCTACTCCTCATGTTTTCTCCACTGCTTCTCTCGATGGTTCTATTTGGCATAATCGCCTTGGTCATCCTAGTCACTCTACTTTATCTCATCTTTTATCGTCTTTTTCTATTTCCAGTCCAAAAACTGACTTGACAAGTTTGTGTCAAGCATGTCAACTTGGCAAGCACACTCGTTTACCTTTTTCTGATTCAAAAACAATAGTTACTTCTCCATTTCAAATTGTGCATTCTGACATTTGGACTTCTCCAATTCAAAGCATAAGTGGGATAAAATATTATCTTATTTTCCTTGATCAATATTCTCATTATCTTTGGGTGTATCCTCTTCATCGTAAAAGTGAGACTTTTGGGAAATACTTACATTTTTCTGCTTATGTTCAGAGACAGTTTCAATGTCAAATCCAGTCTCTTCAATGCGACAATGGCGGAGAGTATGACAATCGTCTCTTCAAGGATCACTTTGCTGCCACCGGTACGCTTTTTTGGTTCTCTTGCCCACACACTTCTCAACAAAACGGTCGTGCTGAGCGCATGTTACGCACTATCAACAATATGGTTCGTGCTTTGCTGTTTCAAGCATCTATTCCCGCTGAATTTTGGGTTGAAGCCCTTCACACGGCTGCTCATCTACTCAACATTCTTCCATCCAAGTCTATCGACCAAGCGGTTCCGTTCACTCGCTTGTTCAAACAAGCTCCCGATTATCATCATCTCCGCACGTTTGGATCTTATGTTTTCCGAATCTCTTACCGACGTCAGCTCACAAGCTTGATAAACGTTCAACGCCGTGTGTGTTTTTAGGCTATCCCACCGATCATCGTGGATACCGGTGTCTTGACCTCTCCACTCGACGAATCATACTCTCTCGCCATGTCGTATTTGATGAAAAGACGTTTCCTTTCTCTACTCTTCTTACAACTTCTTCTCCGTCTCCCTCACCTCCTCTTTTGCCTACACCACCTCCTATCTCTCGTCCTCTCTCACCTCAGGTTCCCCTTCCTTCTCCTACTCCCACTATCACTAATTCTGCTCCTCAAAATATTCCTTTAATCCATAATGCTCATCCTATGATTACTCGAGGCAAAATCGGTATCGTCAAACCGCGAACTCTATTGTGTCTTCACACTGATGCCACAATTTCTCCTTTACCTTTGACTCATGTTCAGGCAGCTCGGGATCCATTTTGGAATAAGTCTATGCATGAGGAATTTGATGCTCTTATTAAAAAGAGAACGTGGGATCTTGTGCCACGTCCAAAGGATACTAACGTTGTGCGTTCTATGTGGTTGTTTAAGCATAAATTTAATGCAGATGGATCGCTTCGTCGTTACAAATCCCGTCTTGTTGCTAATGGCAAGTCTCAACAGCTCGGTCTTGACTGTGATGAAACTTTCAGCCCCGTGGTTAAACCCGCAACAATCCGGTCCGTCTGAGACTACCAAGGCACGCGATTGGCCACTTCACCAACTTGATGTAAAGAACGCTTTTCTCTATGGCGACCTTGATGAGACCGTCTACATGCACCAACCGCCAGGTTTTGTCGACAAACAAAACCCGGATTATGTTTGTCTCCTCAAGCGGTCTTTATATGGCTTAAAGCAAGCTCCTCGTGCTTGGAATACACGTTTTGCTACATATGCTCGTCGACTTGGTTTCAAACAAAGCATCTCTGATCCCTCTCTCTTTGTGTTTTCCGATGGCTCTGCTCTAGCGTACCTTCTCCTGTACGTTGACGATATTATTCTCACGGCTTCGTCTCCTCTCCTTGTTCAGCGTATTGTCACATTCCTCAGCTCCGAATTTGAAATGTCAGATCAAGGCCCTCTCCATCATTTTTTAGGCATCACCGTCCGTCGCAATGCCTCTGGTCTCTTTCTCCATCAACAAAACTATGCTGCCGATATCCTCAATCGTGCTAACATGACAAACTGCAATCCGTGCTTAACTCCGGTTGACACCAAACAGAAGCTTGCTGCTGCCGACAGCCCTCCGGTCTCTGATCCTACACTATATCGCAGCTTAGCCGGAGCTCTTCAGTACCTTACATTCACCCGTCCCGACATCTCCTATGCGGTCCAGCAGATATGTCTCTTTATGCATGACCTGCGTGAGTCTCACTTTAATGCTCTTAAGCGGATCCTTCGTTACGTTAAAGGCACCATCTCTCACGGCATTCACATGGCCCGTTCTTCGTCACTTTCTCTCACGGCATACACAGACGCTGATTGGGCCGGTTGTCCTTCCACTCGCCGCTCTACCTCCGGTTTTTGTGTTTTTCTTGGTGATAACTTGGTGTCTTGGTCTTCTAAACGTCAACATACTGTCTCCCGCTCTAGTGCTGAAGCCGAGTATCGAGGCGTTGCTAATGCTGTTAGCGAGACTACTTGGTTACGCACTCTTCTCCTCGAAATGAAGATCATGTTATCTCGAGCAACGTTGGTGTATTGTGATAATGTCAGCGCAATCTATCTCTCTTCTAATCCCGTTCAACATCAGCGGACTAAACATGTTGAAATTGACATACACTTAATTCGTGAAAAGGTTGCTCTTGGCCTTGTTCGAGTTCTTCATGTTCCTTCTGCTTACCAATACGCCGACATCTTTACGAAAGGCCTACCATCACCGTTGTTTCTTGATTTTCGGGACAGTCTCACCATCGGTCCACCGACGTTTCCACTGCGGGGGAGTGTTAGAGAACGTATATAGAATATATGTAAATACTCTTTATTACACTTAGGAAAGGCCAACAGTCCAATTGTATCTTATATATTCTCTCTTGATTGTGTAATACAACAACGGAGTTTACCTTTCTTACAGATTTATCCAAATTTGGATATAGCCTTTTGCTGTTGTCTCTCACTATCATACTCTCTCCCTCCCTCATTGACTAACCCATGAGCCGTGTCTTTGTGTGTGTGGTGCATTTTACTTTTACAGATGTAAAACAAAAACAAAGTGGCTTCTAGTTGCACGTATGAGCTATTGTAAGTAAAAGGGAAGATGCATCGTTTCTTCATTTTCAACATTATTATTCTACATTTGCTCTATAGCTTTTTGGGTGTTGAAAAGATTGAGTGATCGACGAGTCATGTGTATGATGGAAACGATCTAGAATTATTAATTTTACTATACTAAGAATATACAAGAGGTGGTTTCTAGTATAGAACATAAGTTTAGGAAGTCAAATCCAAACTATACTTTGGTCTTTAGCTAGCTTTGGTTTTTGGTATTTGCAGATGTAAAACAAAACAAAGTGGCTTCTAGTTGCACATATGAGCTATTGTAAGTAAAAGGGAAGATGCAGCGTTTCAACATTTTCAACATTATTCTACATTTGCTCTATAGCTTTTTGCTCCTGAAGGTTGAGTGATGGTCGAGTCATGTGTATGGTAAGAATTATTATATTTTACTATACTAAGAATAGAATATACAAGAAGTGGTTTCTAGTAGAGCAGAGAACACAAGTTTAGGAACTCAAAATCCAAACTGTTCTTTGGTCTTAGCTAGCTTTGGTGTTGGTAGTTTCGATTCTAGTGCTGATTGGTCTTAAGATCTGTAATGATATGTAAGACTCAAATCCAACTACAACTAGTATTTGTTAATCAGAGCCTATAGTGGTTAAGTGAACTTGGTTTATCAAATAGACACTTAAGTAAATATACATGTCAAATTATTTATGATTAACGTACCCAAAAAAAAAAAAGAGAAGAAAAGAGATATCTTGTGAAACACGTTGAAGATGGCATTCATACGCAATATTTGATCACTTTCATACCAAAATCTAAAAAGGGTACGTATCATAGGTTTTTTAGTGGATCCATACTAAGATTCCAATTTCTTTATAACTTTGGTGATCTTTGTGAAACCAAGTATGAAAAAATATTATGAAAGTAATCATTTTGGAAAATAGTAATCTCTTTATCACCTGTTAAGAGTTAAGACTTTATATCAAAACAAACAATCTCTTCACGATCTTATTTTTTTGGTTATAGTTGTGATGATAGATGGTAACGTGTATGCTTTTTTCTTAAGTTCTATAATTTCTTGATTTTTGTTATGTATCTACATGTTCTTGCTATTTCTTGATTTCAAGTTATTTTTTGGTATTTAGTTACGTTCTTACTTTTTTCGGAAGTACTACTAGTTAGTGTCAAAGGTTCTGACTAATTGCTTGAAATTGCATGATCCGGGTTTCCATAAATACTCTATATCAGCTTTCCAATAATTAAGTTGAAAGTAAAGAGAAAAAATAACTATATGGGTCAAGAATTGTATAAATGGAAAATATAAGGTGAAATTTATAATTACCATAGGAAAGTTTTAGAAAACAATCGATTCATTTATTTATATTTGATAGGGTTTCTAAATTTCAAAATGTTAGGTTTGGGAGAAATTGCTGAGTATAATATTTGAGCTCCTGTCCAATCCTGGAAGACATATACATGGATCTTCGTCGTCTTGTTTTATTCTCTAATCTTAGATGTTCGTTTCCATTGGTTCAATTAGATTAAGGCTTTTTGATGTCTTTATAGCCTCAATTGATTACAAATTAGACTTCATATTGCTCATATAGATTTCTTCAAGCACATGATCGTGTCTTTTTAATGTTTAAAAATAGAATATATAGTTTCACAAGAGTTCGATTATATATTATTTTCTGTGCATATATAAAGACATAGCATCATGGCATATATAGCATATAAGAACACTTTAGAAATATATTTACTATCCTAAAACATAATTCAAAGTTGGTTTTTAGTGGCACACAAGTGTAAGACTCAAATCCATCCAACTAGTATTTGGTCTTAGCTTTTGTAATCCGGATCCAGATAGTGGTTAGGTGACCTTAATTTCTATATGTTCTTGATTTTTTCAAATCTATATTTTCTTGCTTTTTCTTGATTTCAAGTTCTTGTTTAGTTTTTCGTAAGTACTAATAGCTCGAGTCTAGATTCACTATAGAAAAATATGATGTTGATGTCAAATGTTCTGAGCTGGATTTACAAAAATACTATGTACATTATCACCTTTCCATAAATAAAGTTGAAAGTAAAGAGTAAGAATAACAATAGTTCCAAGAACTGTATAGATGTACTTTTAAGTTACCCATAGGAAAGTTATAGAAGATCATAAACTATTTATTTATTAGATAAAGCATCATAATGCTCTTAGTTTGACCAAGGAAATAGGTTTCCCCGAATCGACAAATGTAAATTAGAGTAGAAAGATGTATTTACAGCATCAACAAGATTACTTATTAACTATGTAGATATACTTTTTATACTTGGATGCTGCTTAGTATTTGTTTGTAACTCTTTCTACTGGATGTTGAAATTGAAGCTGTGCTCGTATCTCTCAAAGAACATCACTTCCCCAGTGCGTTTGAACGCTAATGCTGTCGTACTAGTTGTTCCAAAGCGTTGCATTCCAAGCTGGATCAATCGAAATGAAAAAAGAAAGAGATTAACTAACTAATTAATGATGGTAGGAGAATATGAATCATAGAAACGTTATATATATATATGAAATGTCTTACTTCAGGGTTCGGATGCTCAGCCATAGTTTCGAGAAACAGCCCGGCTTCAGTTGCTCCACTAGCAATCTCATTAAGCGGTGGTAGTTCATCGTGTCCCAAAACACCATTTAATATCATGCGACTAAAATACTCTCTCATGCGTACATCCTGAAAAGTAAAGGGAGAAATGAGAGTTTTTGAAAGAGCTACAAAAATGTACGAAAAAGAAACAAGACACTAGTAACTTGATTACCCTGGCAGAGATTGTGGAGTCGAGGCCACAGTGAGGAGAAAGTGTGTGTAGACCAGACGAAACGTCTTGTATAGAAACATCCTGCTCATATGGATGAAATTTCCTCAAGTGAACCATTGAATTGGAAGCCATGTCCGCGACTATAAGGCTATAGGACCACCCCTTATCTAAATCATAGTCACGCAGTGCCACCTCCTCGGCAAAATCCCGTGGACTCATATTGCCCTGCAACCAAAACAGAGAAATTAAGATATCCAATATGTTTTGAATAAAAATATTGGATACAACACCAAAGAAACGAAAACAAACCTCCAAGAATTCAATGGGATACAACTCGGTGCCGCAGTCTGGATCAACTTGGTCTAGCAACAACGTTCTACTCATGAGAAAAGCGACCCGGCCTCCTCGAGAAATAGCCAACCACGTTCCGTTGTTATCTTCGCACCGACCACTCAAAATCTGGCCATCCCAAGAAGCCCCTTTTATGATCCTGTTAATCCCATCAGACCAAATGTTTTCAAAAAAGTCATCAACATCATTAACGTACGTGCCAAGAAAGATAAACCTGGAATCAAAGTTTTAAACTTGCCTGTTTCCCCAGTTGTCTCTGTGCATAAGCAACACCAGTTGGTTGTTTCCAGCTTCCTCTGCCCACTTGAATACTACGACCCCCATTTTTTTTTAGAAAAGAAGATATAAGTTTTGTTTTATTGCTATCTGAATCTCTTGCTCTGTGTTGTTTCTTTTGTTGTGATATTTTGAGTTGTGAACCCTATCTCTGTTTTTATAGCAGAGGGATGATGATCTCTGCTCTGCTTTTTTCCTTTACTTGTTCTTCTTCCCAACGTAACCACTAACTCTACGCGCTTAAGAGCTTCTTAATCCATATTTGGATGTAGCTTTTGCTCTTTTCTGTCAACCATCATACTCTCTCCCTCATTGACTAACCCATGAGCCGTGTCTTTGTGTGTGTGGTGCATTTTACTTTTACACGTATTGAGATATGTAAAACAAAAACAAAGTGGTTCCTCGTAGCACAAATGAGCTATTTTACACATATTGAGATATGTAAAACAAAACAAAGTGGTTTCTACTAGCACGTATGAGCTATTGTAAGTAAAAGGGAAGATGCATCGTTTCAATATTTTCAACATTATTCTACATTTGCTCTATAGATTTTTGCTTTTGGAGATTGAGTGATCGACGAGTCATGTGTATGGTGGATACGAACGATCAAGAATTGGTTTCTAGTATAGAACACAAGTTTAGGAACTCAAATCCAAACTATTCTTTGGTCTTAGCTAAGCTTTGGTGTTGGTAGTTTCGATTCTAGTGCTGATTGTGTAAAGATGAGTCATATGTGTGTATGTGCAACAATATTAGAAAATACTTTTTTTACTAATTTGAGAGAAATTGAAACAAAGACGTTATAGAAAACACGACGATGATGTTGACGTGGCAGCTAGGTTGTGTGATTTCTTTATTTTATATGTTGAAAGAGTTTATTATTCGTCAACATTTTAACAAGATCAAAATGTCATAAAAGCCATATTTTTGATCTCCTTATTTGCTCTTAGATGAACTAATTTTAAAATGATTGGTTTGGGAGAAATTGTTGAGTATAATATTTGAGCTCCTCATTTGATCCTGAAGGCTGAAGGACATATACATAGATCTTCTTTGTCTTGCTTTGTTGCTTAGTTCTCTAGTCTTAGGTATTCGTTTATATTCGTTGTTCAATTAGATTAAGGTTTTTTTTTATGTGCAGTGGAGTGTTATTGCCTGAATTGATTACAGCTTATTTCTAAGTTAGGATTAGAACTTAATTATGTAGTAACAGAGAGATTAAATCTTAAGATTAATTAGACTTCATATTGCTCATTTACACACTTGAAGCACAGTGACTTTTCAGTAGATACAAATTATATGCTTCTCTGTGCTGCACAGACTGTGCATATACAGAACTTTTATATTTTCTCACTAAATTGCATTGTTTTGCTTTCATCTCTAAACCCAAATTTCATCTTTGCTCATATATCTAAACGAAATGACTAAATCTGATTGTGATTACTTGCAGAACAGCAGAAGAATTATATATATCTAAACGAAATGAACGTGAGACAAAGTGCTACTGCATAGTCTGCATTCATAAAACCCCCAAAAGATGCAATCCAACAAGTTTCCTACAAGTGTTTGTATATAAAGACAGCTAAAAGAATGGCCTATCTCTACACAACGCTGAGTCTGTAAAGAGTATTGAGTACAAAGGTTAAGAAAGACGAGTTACTACTCTATGCATAATATGTGTAAGATGTAACAGCTTCTGAGCTACTTTTCTCTGATATCAACAAGCTGCTCAAACAGTAGATGTAATAGCACCTGCAAGTTAATTCATGAAAAGCCTAGATAAGACTTGAGGCTCAAGAAAACGTTTTAAACTCATCATCAAAGATTAACATACCTTGTTGCAGCTGCAAACTAATCATCAAACCGTAACAGTTCGAGAAAGCTCAATGCAAGGAAACTCGCGGAATGAATGCACAAGCGATATTGATTTGATTTCGACCTTCCCCAAAATATCACCATCTTCACGTTTCTCCAAGGCCACCTCTACGCACCAAACATCTGTTTTCAAGTGATGATACGGCTGACAACGACCCAAAATCACCAACTTCCCACCAACATTTGCCATCCTAGAATCAGTATAAACGAGACGAGGCCAAAGAGTTATACCCTTTACAGATCTCCAATCCATATCCTTTGGATCATACACGAGAATGGGAGGTTCAGGAAACGGCTGAGGATTAAAGGCATACAACAAACCATCAACCATACAAGAAGACGGCCCCCAACACTGCCTCTTTGGACTTTCAAGTCCCCAATTCTCCCATCTACCTAGTCTTGGATCGTAAGCCAAACAAAAAGGACCATCCAAAATGTAAATCTTATCTTCCATAACCACATGTGCAATATACATTCCTCTCCAACTAGCAACGGGAGGGAATGGACCAGACACAACTTCCCAAGTCTCATTCTCAACATCGAACACCTCCACCCAATCATAATATCGTTTCTCGCTACCTCCGACTACGTAAATCTTTCCATCGATTACACCGGCGGCTGCGTAGCATCGATCCTTGTTCATACTCCGGAGCTGGCGACAAGTATTGAATCTGCAATCTATGACAAACATAGTCCTCACGGGTCGATTATAGCTGACGTCAAAACCACCGATAACGTAAATCTTGTGTCCTATTGTGACGGCAGTGCATCCAGGGAACATCGGAGGAATTGAAGTGACTCTGCTTAAACTTAATGAGATGTTGTTTCCATGGAGTATATACCAGCTTGGAGGGTCAAAAGGTGGCGACGAGATCAAGGTATAAAGAACCGGTTCAGTCACGCCTAGGTCCGAGCGTGTTACGAAGAGTTGCTCCGAAGAGATTACGTCACGGAAGGCTTTAGAGAGTAGAGATAGCCTCGGGTAATGGCATCTTGGGACGCGTGCGACGATGATTTCGCAGAGTTCTTCAGGGATGTGATCACGATTCTCTACTTCTTCTTCTTCTTGATCGTCTTCTTTCGCTTTCTCGTCTTGATACTCTTCTTCTTTTACTACTTTCTGATTCTTGCTTGGACCGCCGCCGTAAGATACGTCGTCGGAAGTTTCAGAGATTAAAGCCATCGCCGTCGCAGTGTGTGAAGGCTTCAGCTGCAACGAATTAACTGAAAGTGTGACTATAAGTGGAATGTCTCGAGCAAGATTCTCTACTTCTTCTTCTTCTTCTTGATCTTCTTCTTGGTTCAGTTTCTTGTTTTGATTCTCTTCTTCTTGCGGGTTCTTGTTGGGTTCTTCGGGTTTCTTGTTTGGATCGCCGCCAGCAGAGTCGCCGGGAATTTCAGTGACCATAGCCATCGCCGTGTGACGTTAACAGCGAAGAAATAACTGAAGAGAGAGAGAGAGAGAGAGAGAGAGAGAGAGAGAGAGTAAATTCGATTTTTGAAAGAAGCTGTTTACGTTGTGTGTTTTTTATTTACGTTTGTGTATTTATAATGAAACCATAATGAGTTATAAAAATAAATGCTCTCTTATTTTTATTATGGATTTTCATAAGCTTCGTTTTTAAAAGGATGTTCATCAATCATCATAAATAAAAAGCCAAAATGATTTGTATTTTTTATTTATTTATTTTTTTCAAAATGATTTGTATTAGATCACTTTTAAAATTATCTTCTCTTAAACCCTCGTTCTAATACATTTAATTTCGTGAAAATGTGGTTTTATCTACTTACTCCTATTTTCACCTTTTTTTGGAAGAAAAAACACTATCGTATTTCGTATACAAAGCTTAATAAAAATAAAAAACATTTGAAAATAAAAAAAATCACTTTAAAATTTGCATATGAAGTTTTCATCTAAGCTAAAGAAAATTTCTTCTTCTTCTTATTATTATTATTAATTTTTTTTTTGACAACTTGAATCTTACTTTTAATTGCAGGTTAACTTTAAAATTTCCTTTAAGCTTTTTAAAATCACCATTGGAAAAACAAAACTACAGAAATGAGTCAAATCTGAACGTGATTACTTGACTCACAAGTCTCTTTGTTGTCTCTACTAAGAAACCCTAATTTGTATTTTAGATGTTGAATTCAAATGCTTTGTTAGTCGTCAGGTACCAATGAAAAGGATATTGAGAGAGCAATTTTCTTGAGTTGGTGACATGATCGATGTTAAAGGTCCCCAGATTCAGGTAATCTCAGTGCCCTTGTCGTTTTAAATGATATAACAGAGTTTCATGCAAAACAATATATACAGTATAATGGTTCTCAGCCTTCATCAGGAACTTGTACTTCCACACTTTAATATTGTAGATTTTAGTTACCCATATAATGAAAAAACCTCCGGTTAACTTTATTTGTTTGCTTCATCTCTAAACCAAGATTTATATTGCTCATATAGTAGAAGCAGAAATGAAGTACCAATCTCTTACATATGCACAGCCAGAAGCTGGCGGTTTGGTAATTAAGTTTCACAGGTTAATAATCAGGTTAGTCTTGATTTTATATTTGCACATATAGTCATATACTTGAAGCACCATGAGTCTTTTTACATTGATATATAACAGAGTTTCATACAAACAATATTATCTTCTCTTTTTGTATGTTTCTATGTATAAATAAACTTCAGCCTTCATCACGACTTTGATTACAGCTTATTTCTAAGTTAGGATTAGAACTTAATTATGTGGTACAGTGAGATTAAATCTTAAGATTAATTAGACTTCATATTGCGATCATGTACACACTTGATACTAATTACATGATTCTCTGTGCAAATACAGATAGCTTCATGAACTTTTGTATTTTTTCACTTTCATATTGTAAGCTTAAGTCACATTGTTTTGCTTTCATCTCTAAACCCAAATTTCATACTCTGCTCATATGGTAGAAGCAGATTAGGCTTTCCTTAAATCTGATTGTGATTACTTACAGAACAGCAGAAGAATTATGTATATCTAAAAGCATACAAAATGAACTTGAGACAAGTGCAACTGCATTCCTAAAACCCCCAGAAGATGCATTTCAACAAGTTTCCTATAAGTTTTTGTATATTAAGACAGCTAAAAGAGTGGCCTATCTCTACACAACGCTGATCTGTAAGAGTGTTGAGCACAAAGGTTAAGAAGGACGAGTTACTACTTTAGGATAGCATGCGTAAGATGTAACAGCTTCTGAGCTACTTTTCTCTGATACCAACAAGCTGCTCAAACAGTAGATGTAATAGCACCTGCAAGTTCAGTCATGAAAAGTCTAGATGAGACTTGAGGCCAAAGAAAACGTTTGAAACATCATAACTCATCATCTCTAAACCAAGATTTATGTGTTTGCTTTATGTGTTTGCTTCATCTCTAAACCAAGATTTATATTGCTCATATAGTAGAAGCAGAGATTAGGTTTCATTAGTGTAAACTGATCTGGTTTCTAAACTAAAAGCAAACATAGAGTAGTTGAGACGGTAACAGTTCGACAAAGCTCAATGGAAGACACCTTGACGTCTCTATACTAGTATGATGATATATAAGGTCAAGTTTTATGAAAGAGATAAACAGAGTTGTTCTTGTTTTTTTGTATAATCTAAGAAGTGAGTTATAAAGGCACTAAAACCTGTTTAACACCGGATGAAGATGAGGATTATTACAAGAAATAGTAAAATAAATAGTGTTGTTACACAGACAAGAGACTCTCAATGTGATCGGGAAACATAAACATGGTCACTATTTTTCCAAGACCATCACGGCGAAATTCGGGTTCTGCAAGTCCTTGATAGATGACTCTTCTAACGGTGTTCCTCTTTGGATCGAAATACAGAGCATGAAATGGATCAAACGAAACAGACCAAGAAGATGAGGCATAAACGAACTCACCAGCTGATGTCACACCCTTAAGAAATAATGAGGTTTCCAAGATTGGATCCTCGAGAGGAAAAGGTAGAGAAAGACGTTTAAACGACCACTCATGTCTCTCTGCATCCTCCAAAACCCACAGCGAAATAAAGGGATCAAAACTGAATTCGGAAGCTTGCCAAGCTAAAGCTAACTTACCTTGGTAAGCTAAGAGGATACCCTCGGATTGACTCCATGGCACTTGTATCATTTTGAACTTTTCAGATTTGACATGGAAGCTCATCACAATGCGGTGAGTAAGATCAGAACTAAGATGGGCTTCGTAATACAAAACCCCTTTGATGCATCGTCCACCAAGGCGAGGGAAATGTTCAAAGCTACCTTGGATGAATCTCCATGATGATTTTTGACCTCTTCCCAGTGTAAGAACCCGAGCCTGATTCCTTGGCTCAGGGTAAGTAGAAGAATAAACCTCAGGCATACACACAACTTTGTATGTACCATCGATCGGGTCGTATCCCACAAAGCCTAGCGTGTATTCCCAGCAGCTTTCGGGTTTGGTCAAGGTTGAAAACTGCCTCGTGGTTGGGTTCCAAATCCCGAGCTTTCCATCTCCATGAAAGCAGTACACGCCGTGTGCTGAACTCATGTAGTGACTATACTCACAATTTTTGGGGCATTTTATTACATAACTGTCCACAGGAGAACAATTGTCCGAATTCCCTTGTTGTGGCAAGGAGAAAGCCAACAGATTGTCGCCTCGGATTTTGAAGGCGAGAACACATGGACTTTGAGAGAACCGAGCTGTGAACAAGTTATTGAAAGATGCAAGTGTTGTGTAGGACAACCAGAGCTTCGACACGCAGCGAGACCTCCCAATACCTCTAGCAGGCAGCCTTATGAGCACCTCACAGATAAGATCCAAAGGAAGGGAGAGGGACGTCTCTTTGGATGATGGACACAACCCTTTTCTCTTCTCCTCTTCTTCTTCTTGTTTCTCCATCATCATCGACTAGTTTCCTTCTTCTTGTATGTCTAGATCACAAAGATTTATAAAGAATCAACTCTCTTTATTTGCTTAAGAAACTTTCTCAAAACTTCAAAATCTCATACATCACTCGACATCTCTATATATATGAAAACCTTAATCCTAATCCTATTAGAAAATACATATACTTAGATGACTCCTAAATATATTGATCATTATCTCTAATTAAACCATAGCTCGGTTTAGGATTAGGATAACTTCCATCTCAAGTTATCCATCCAAGTTTAATTCAACAGTATGATTGGTAATATACAAGTTGGATTCTTGAAATAGGCAATATTTATACCCCTACAATTTTATTATGTTCAATTCATGTCAGCATACTTCTTTTTTTTTAACCTTATAACAGGTTTTTATTTATTTACTAGTTTAGTACCCGTCCGATGGACGGGTTATCTTTATTTAAAATTATATTAAAATTAAAATTTAGTATAACTTATAAAAAATAATTTCCAAATCTTTTTTTTGAAAAAATAAGAGAAATTATTTTCATTTGGAAAAAGATTTTAATTGGTTTGAGAATCTTAATTTAATAATTTTCCTCTAAAACATGATTAGTAAAAATTGTTATTTCTTAACTTTCAATTTTTCAAAAAATCATTCTCAAACTATGAAAATTAATTAATTATTATTTAATATGATGGTAAAGTTCTTTTAAATTAACATCAATCTAAAATATGATGTTAAATATAAATATAGTCATTTGTAGATAAGTTCATATAAACAACGCAAATAAACATAAAGATTCTAAAATAAATTATAGCATTTTTGAGGAAAACATTAAAAAATCTTTCAAATACGAATTATAAAAAACTACATATTTTTTTAAAAAATATTTTAAAATTACTATATTATAAATTATATTGAACTTTTCTTTAATTTAAGCTAAAACTATTATGTTCAAAAATCTTTTGTTCACCCTTATGTTTTAGGCAATGAAATTGCTCAAAGACATAATACATTCATACATAAATTAAAAATTAAACAAATATAACATATTGTAAAATAAAAATCATGAATAAAAATATTTATTTAGTTAAACTCAAAATCTATTTTATTTGTAAAATGTAAATCCTAATTCTCCTTTATGAACCCCCCAAACTGATAAATAACCTTGTTTAATTGTAAAACCTAAATCTCACACCTCTTTTATAAACCCAAACCGATAAATAATCTCTTTTAATTATAAAATCTAAACTATAATGCACATTTATAAACTCAAACCAACATATTACCCTTAATTGTAAAACCTACAACTGGCAAAACCAAAAATTAGGTTAATAGTTGAAAGAGAATTTTTGAGAAATACCTATTTTGGTGTATCCCTTTTTAAAAATATACCGATTTTTTGCCATTTTTGAAAATACCCTTTTCAAATATGAAAAATTGTAAACATTTATATAGTTTATAAGGTACATCTAGATCATCATTACTAATAGGAGACTCAATAAAAACATTTATAAAGTTTCATGTTTAAATTTCCAAATAGTAGTTATTATATAGAAGTACCTTATAAACCATATAAAATTTTATAATTTTTCATATTTAAACAGGAATATTTTTGAAAATTGATAGATAAATGGAGTATTTTTGAAAAGGGGTAAACCAAAAGGGGTATTTCTCAAACATTCTCTTTAATTTTTTATAATTATTTTATATATTTAACTTTTTAATGTTGTTTAAAAATTCTATTTTTATCTTAATAATAACAAAATTAGTTATAACACGTTGCGACATCTTATGTTTTACTTGATACTTATCATGGTCACGTGAGTTACTAAAATGAAAACCAAGTTTCGGCATATAATCTCGTTTAATTGTTAAACTTAAACCATAATTTTAATTTACAAAGATAAACCATAATTCTCATTTTATTATTTATATACCCAAACCAACAAATAACTTGTTTTAATTGTAAAGTTAAAGTTTAAACCTTAATCCTCTCTTGTAAACAAAAACCGACATGTATTCTTGTTAATTATAAATTTTAAATCCCTATCTTATTAATAAACCAATTTGACATAACTGAAATTAGGTTATTTGTTTAATTTTATTAATAAATTTTTAATATATAATTTGTTATAACATTTATAACATTTATTTAATATATTTCTTTTTCGATATGGTTAATAATATTTCTTTTTTATCTTAATATTAACAAAATTAGTATCGACACGGGTCAACATCTTATCGTTTACAATTGACACATGTCACGATCATGTTAATGGCTGAGAAATTAGGTTATTTGTTTAATTTTATTAATATTTTTTTTAATATATAATTCGTTATAATATTTATTTTATATATTTCCTTTTTCGATAGGGTTAATAATATTTCTATTTTATCTAAATATTAACAAAATTAGTATCGACACTTGTCAACATCTTATCGTTTATAATTGACACATGTCCATAATTTTAATTTACAAAGATAAACCATAATTCTCATTTATCATTTATATACCCAAACCAACAAATAACATGTTTTAATTGTAAAATAAAAGTTTAAACCTTAATCCTCTCCTTTAAACAAAAACCGACATATATTCTTGTTAATTATAAATCCTTATCTTATTACTAAACCAAATTGCTCTTGTAAACAAAAAACCGACATATATTATTTTTAATTATAAATTTTAAATCTCTATCTTATTAATAAACCAAGTTGACATAACTAAAATTAGGTTATTTTTTTATTTTACTAATAAACATTTAATATATAATTTGTTATAATATTTATTATATATATTTCCTTTTTCGATAGGGTTAATAATATTTCTATTTTATCTAAATATTAACAAAATTAGTATCGACACATGTCAACATCTTATCGTTTAGACACATGTTACAATCTTGATAATGGCTGAGAAATTAGGTTATTTTTTTAATTTTATTAATAATTTTTAGTATATAATTTGTTATAATATTTATTTATATATTTCCATTTTTTGATAGGATTAATAATATTTCTATTTTATCTAAATATTAATAAAATTAGCATCGACACGTGTCAACGTTTTATCGTTTATAATTGACACATGTCACGATTTTGTTAATGGCTGACTTTGAAAACCAAGGTTTATATAATAAGATTTTATTTTGTTCGTTTAAGCTTTTTACATTAATAACAATTCACCAGTGGTAAAATCTAAAATCTATAAAAATTGAGTCAAATGTCTCTGAACGTGATTACTTGACTCACAAGTCTGTTTGTTCTCTTTACTTAAAAACCCTAATTTGTCTTTTAAATGTTGAATTCAAGTGCTTTCTCGACTGGGGTACTGATGAAAAGGATACTGAGAGATCAATTTTTCTTGAGTTGGCGACATTATCTATTCTAAGGTCGGCACATTCAGGTAATCTCAATGCCCTTCTTTGTTTTACCTTACTCGATTATGGAGGGATTGAAATCCAACAGTTAAAGAACCAGAGATGTCACAGTGCAGATCAATGATGATGAAGAAATGAAGTATCAATCTCTTAAATATGCACAGCCAGAAGCTGGCTGTTTGGTAATTAAGATTCACAGGTTGATAATCAGGTTAGTCTTGATTTTATATTTGCTCATATAGTCATATACTTGAAGCACCATGAGTCTTTTTACATTGATATATAACAGAGTTTCATACAAACAATATAATCTTCTTTTTTTGTATGTTTCTATGTATAAATAAACTTCAGCCTTCATCACGACTTTGTACTTCCACACTTTTATATTGTAGTTACCCATGTAGTCAAAAACCACCGCTTAACTAAATCACTTTGTGTTTGCTTATCTCTAAACCAAGATTTCATATTGCTTACATATGTAGTAGAAGCAGAGATTAGGTTTCATTAGTGTAAACTAATCTGGTCTCTAAAACTAAAATCAATTATAAAGTAATTGAGACCATGTTAGTGAAAAAAAAAAACCCCAATACAAAGATGCATTTCAACAGGTTTCGTAGTTTTTTTTTTGTATAGAGGTTGAAACAAATGACCAACTCTACACATTGTGCACAAAGATTAAAGAAGGGCGAGTTACTTCTGCACCACTTTTGCTTCATGTTTGCTCTCATATCAACAAGCTTCTCAAACAGTAGATGTAATATAAAGACTCCTTCACCTGCAAGTTTATGAAAGCCTAAATTAGACTTGAGTAGCAAGAAAATGTCTGAAACATCATAATTCATCATGATCAGTAGTCCAAACTCATCATCACAGAAACATACCTGCAAGAAACCATCCACCACGATTTGTATCATCAAACCGTAACAGTTCGACAAAGCTCAATGTAAGGAAACACGTCTCTATACACAGAAGAGACTGATTCCACCTTCCCCTGAATCTGACCTCCTTGACGAGTTTCCAACGCAATCACTACACAACAACGAATTAACTGAAAGTGATGAGACTAATCCAATTTTTTTTCTTGAAACATAACGTTGTTGTGTATATTTATTAAGGAAACCAAAATGTCATCACGTATTCAGAAACTTAGAAAAAGATTAATTGCGTTAAATCATTATTGAAAAAAAAATTAATTCTAAAAAGAATGATTTGTAATTAAATCATTTTCTTTATCTTAATATTAGTCTCTTGAATCATTATTGTATAATGTTT